TGCATGCATTTCAAGAAACTAAACTCCCTTCATCTATAATTTAACCTAGAAAAGAAAGCAAAATTGAGAGAGTAGTATGATTACATTGCTTGAGAACTAGTAACTTTACCTCCCCCAGTTTTATGGAAGTCATGCTCGGTTTCACTGTTTGCCATACCTTTAATACTGTGGGGTGTGGGCTAAGTGTGATATTGTAATAATAGTGAGAGTTTCTCTAACCGTAGTTATGGACTATGGATTGAAATAGTAAATTATTCCTGGCAGACTGAATGGGCAATAAGACTGCCATCCAGTTCTCCTCATAAAACAAAGCAATAGATAAATAAAGCAGAGCCAACTCACTTAACCTGCGTGGCTCTGTGCACTGCTAATTATTAACCCAGGCGCAAGAGAGGGGTTCACCCAGAGTGTAGTTAAGTCATTTTTAATCGAGGTAAACACTAGTCATGTGGATGAGTAGCACTCAAGAAAGTTTTAATCAGCAACATTTAGGAATCACCCAGCCTAATTGCCATAACTTATTAATAATAATAAATAATCACGTCTTTTTATGGCCCCTGTCTCTGGAGGACTCAGTGCATTAAAGATCTCTAGGGTGTGAATCTCTTAGTAGCTGTGGGGGAAGGGGCAAGTATCCTTGATGCTCATTCCTAACTGAAGACATTGGACAGCAGGGCTAAGAAAGGCAATCTGAGTTCCTTCTTTCTTGTTTTCTTCCTCCCACATCTGAATCACCAACTTATCCACACCCTTTCTTCTATCTATAGGACCAGAATGGCTCCAGGGGCTAGTGGGGCTGGGGAGGCGGGGCAGGCGGAAGAACAGGCTTTCCTTTGTCCACGTGAATGATTGGGGTTGGGGTTTTCTCCCTTGGGAAGTGAGTAAGAGCAGAGCTTTGTCTGAAGGAGTTCATTTCCTCTGTACCAGTGTCCCTGGTGTCCTTTGGGCTCAACCTGATTCTGGCTAGAGCAGCCGTGGCAATTCCCCACTCCATACTGGCGTGATTTCCAACTCCTGCAAGAGCAGAAAAGATGGTCCTGAGTCTTATTCTCAGAGTAATTCCCCACAGCAACGGATGGAATGGGAAAACATTTGTTGTATATCTAACTTTGCCCTCTCACCACCATGATAGGGGTATTAGAATATGCCTGGGTTTTCAACAAGGAAACTCGAGCTTAGCAAGTGTAATGGATGGACTGCTGACTTTGTGGTTGGTTAGATTGAAAGAAGAATATCACTCAAATTCGAGGTCTTTTGATTTTTGTAAGTGACTACTCCCTATAGTTTAGGAGATGGGGGTGGTGGACAGGAACACCAGTGTAGCGAATGGTAAGAATATTTCAATGGCTGATATCCTTTGACATCCACGGTTTGGGAGAGGAAGTTAAAATGTAGCTAACAGCACAAAAATCACCACCTTCTCCTTTATTTCCCGTTTGTCTGCCCATGAATCATGTGTGCGTGAGCCAGGATTGCCATTTCATTCTGGAAAAGTGAAATTTTAAAGAAGGTACCCAAACCATTATTAGACCAAAAAGATCAATAATAAGAATGGAATGATTTATACCTCAGACAACGAAAGACATAAACTTTGAGTGTTAAGTTCCAAGATAATTCATGTGCAAAATTGTTGCAATATTCATACTAATGTTTATTAAAATTTACAGTTGAATAAAACAGTGCAAAATGTAAACAAAGCTGAAAAAGAGTTTTTGGAAAAATCTAAAATAGCTACCATGAGTTTTTAGAATAGAAGATATGAATAGTTACTCCATGTATATTTGTCTGCTAAAGCGTGAAATATACAATGGAATTGGACAGAATAAGGTCACTAAATCCCTCCCTGAATTTCCATCCTCCCTGTCCACTGATACTTTTCAGTAATTCAGATCAGTACTGAATTTTGAAGGAAGTGCTCCTTGTCAAAACCACGCAGAGGAGGTTGAGGATTCTGGACGGATGTCGAGACTGAATCCGTATTTCAAAGACTAATCTTATTTCACTAATGTTTTCAGGGTTGGAAATTTTTGTCTGTATTCATTAGAGGGGAATGATAAATCTCTAGTTTGTACTTTGCTAATAATAGTCATGAGCTTTTGTGCTTCATTAAGGTTAAATGAATCTCATGTAGTCCTAGCTCAGCCTTTAACTCCATGTGTGATCTGGAGAAAAATCTCTGAATTGTCTGGGACTCAGTTTCCTCATCTGTAAAAGGAGGTTGGATCAGATGAGTGCTAAGACAGACCAGCCCTCTTTCCCTCCCTCGTAGGTGGGAGCTTGCCATGCCCAGGCAGGTAGGATCCACAAAGGTGTTTAAGAGACATTGCTCTTGTCCTCAGGAGCTCATGGTCTATATAAATAACTCATTATAATAAGAGCTATAATTGCAACATGCACAAATTACTCCAGGGGCACAGAAGCGGAAACAGTGAATTCCCTCTCTGTGGGAATAGACTTCACAGTGGCTGTGACATTTGAAGGCTGAGTAGGAGGGCTCCTCCAGGTGTGCTGGCTGGTCAGAGGGTGGGTGGTGCAGACTATGGGTTCCAGGAAGCAAGTGCATGTGAAAGTGGTATATTTAGGGAGCTGCACATGATTCTCACAGTCTCTGGGCAGTGGCATCCCACACACTGCTGGATCAGAATTTGTACTAATGATGAATTACCGAGGTTAGAGACTACTGTATAGTGTGTATCAATTAGAGCAGAGTCAAGATTTCCTGTAGTGGCACTGATAGGAGCCATTTAAATCCCAGTTGGCTTTGTTGAGTGTAAAAGAAATGGCGGTGTTTTTGCCAATTCCCTGGGAATTACGAGCCTGCAATCTGTTTTACCTGCACCACAACCACTGGCCTCAGTGTACCCTTGGGAGTATGAACAACTCCCTGTGGGGTCACGTGTGCCCAACTGGAGTGAAAACTGCCACCATAGATCTTCTCTTCTTGCAGGCTGTTAACCTACAAGGTGCGTGTCTCAGCCACACCACTGGTGGACCCTTGGTTCTTTGTGACTATGTAGGAGCTGATGTTTCTGGTAATGACAGAGCAAAATTAGATGTTGATGATATATAGTTCCTACTTAATTTTTAAGATGAAAATAACGTTAGCTTTAAAATTTGGGTTGTAAATGTAAGGCATGTTCATTGCTAAAAATTAATACAGAAATGCTTGCATAAAATGTAAAAAAGGTAACCCTAAATTCCATCTCCTGAAAATAATCAATATTTCTGTGACCATTGTCACAGATTTCTCTTCATACAGGTACATAAATGGGCTCAGGATTATATGTGCCATTTTGCTATCTAATATTTTCCTTCAAAATAATCAAGGTCTTTAGCCATTTAAAACAGCTGCACAATAATCCATTGTGTGAGATATATTATATTTGGCTTGATTCCTTATTGCCAGACAATCAGGCAATATCCAGTGTCTTGCCAGTATAAACAATGTCATGAGGAACATTCATGTAGATTTCTTTTATATATTTTGTTATTTCATTAGATTAAAGTCCTAGGAGTGGTATTGGTGGGCCAAGGAGTGCATATTTAATCTTTTTTTTATATACTGTCAAACTATCTTCTAGAAGTTTCATTCCTTTTTACAGTCCTACCATCAGAGCAGGAACCGGCTCATGTCTGAGTGGTGCTGTCTGTATCTCTGCTGGTGTTCTTTTGTCTTTAAGTTACTGAGTGAGAAAGCATGAGCAAATGAGAGTACTTTTGGAGTGAGTAGGAGGTGGTATAAGCAGGGTGAACCTGAATCCACGTGGGAGATGTCAAAAAGTACTTGGCATTTGTACATATGTTTATCAAAAGATATGTATGGAAATGTTCATCACAATTCCTAATTTCCAAACGCTGAGAACAACCCAATATCCACCAACAGTCAAGTAAAGAAATAAACTGTAGTATAACCCCACAGTGAAATACCATATGGCAGTGAGAATGAATGAGCTACCACGTGCTATGATATGGATGACTCCAAAAGAAGCCAAGAAAAGAATTCATGTTGTATCAGTCCATTTACATAAAATTCAGGCCATTGAATTTCTGGTGGGGTGGTAGTTAGTGACTGCTTGTTTATTTTTTTAACTAGAGTGTGTGTGTGCGCGCGTGTGTGTGTGTTGAGATGGAATTTCGCTCTTGTTGCCCAGGCTGGAGTGCAATGGCGTGATCTCGGCTCACTGCAACCTCCGCCTCCCGGGTTCAAGTGATTCTCCTGCCTCAGCCTCCTGAATAGCTGGGATTATACGCACCCACCACCATGCCTCGCTAATTTTTGTATTTTTAGTAGAGATGGGGTTTCACCATGTTGGCCATACTGATCTCAAACTCCTGACCTCAGGTGATCGTCCTGCCTCAGCCTCTCACAGTGCTGGGATTACAGGTGTGAGCCACCATGCCTGGCCCTAGATTTGTGTTTCCTGGTGTCAGTGTAATTGGCATTTAGGGTATTTGGTAGCCTCTCAATATTTGCTGGAAAAAATACATTAATTTTTTTTTTAACTTTTCTAACAGACTTCGACCATGCTTGTTCCTCTATGGTGTTGAATGAGTCACTTAACTTTCTGGAGCCTCAGTTTCCCCATCTATAAAATGAGAACTATAATAAAACTTACTTTATAAGATTGTTGTGAAACTAATATCAATATAAATAATAGCTGCTGATTTTTCTATGTTTACTATGTACTGGGCACGGGTCTAAGCTCTTAAAATGTATGTCATCATTTGTTTAATTTTTCCCATACTTAGATCTATTTTGTGGTTTAGGAACTGTAAGTCACAGAGTTAGTAAGTGTGAGGCCAGGACTGAAATGCAAGCAGTCTCATTCCAGAGCTTGAGCTCTTAAGCACTGCCTCCTGAATTAAAGGAAATATGCATAGAGTGTTTAGCAAAGTCAGCATATGTTATCATCATACTGTGACTTTCAACATTGTTATTAATATTTTTTCTCCTCTCTTTCTCCCCTCTCCCCTCCCCTATTTTTCTTCTCTCTTGGCAGATGTTTTTCAGCAAGGTAAGTTCGCTGTTTCCTGCCTGCGTTTTCACTGGCTGTGTGCTCTTTGGGGAATATGGGTATGGTCTGTGTGCAGAGGGTTATAGGGCTTCTCATTCTCTATGGACACGTCATGTGGAACCTCAGGGACACCATGAGGACAGTGGCTTAAAGTGCCATCAGCCTCCCTGGGCCTCTGCTGTCCAACCTCTGCTTCTTTCTCTGAACCATGCTTTGGGGTAGGATGTAGACTGGACAGCTGGGCAGGGACACTTGAAGAGGGGCCTGTGGCTGGGCCCTGGAAGGAGGGAGGGATGCTGTGGGCGTGGTGAGGACTGAGATTCTGGAGGGGAGTCTGGGGGAAGGCCCCTGTCCGTTGGGGCTCCTGCATCTCTGGGTCAGCTGCTGCTCCCTGTACCAGAGCCAGTGGAGATTCCTTTGCCAAGCAAACATGCCACTGTCGTAGAGGTGTGGCAAGGCCATGGCTGGCTGGCCACCTCATGCCTTTCAACCTCACCAATTGGGTCTGTGACTGAGATAGTGTCACCCAGGTGAGGGTGTGCAGTGTCGTCTGTTTTACTGGGCAAGGTCATGTGCTCTGAGGAGCTGGAGGTGAAATCCTAACCCCACACTGGCCCATGTTTTAATCCCCACTTAGGATGCAGAGCCATTGTGCTCTGGGGTGCGGCAGGAGACTCATGGATCATGGCCTCCTCGAACCTTCTGGATATACGTCAAGGGGGAATTGCCTTTTTAATCACAGCTTGACACTACTGGGTAAAAGTAGCAGGGTATCACTGTTTGTAGTCAAGCTGGGAAATATGTTGGTAGCACACATCTGCTGTGTCTTTCTGGAATCTGAGGCTGGCTTCGAATAAAAGAGACTGGTTTAAAAATATACCCAGGCATTCCATAAATAGCTTCCAAATAATCTTACAGGCTTGGTATTTTCACAACTGTTATTTCACCCCAAACATG